CTCTCATTCAACAAACACGCGAGATTCTTTCGTTGGGAGTAAAACCGTTCGATCGCAAACCTGACGAAACGCCTACACGTAAGTCCATTACCAAGGACAAGAATTAGTCTTCATGGCGAAGTGGAAAATTAACAACCGGGAACATGTTTTAGTACAGAATCCACTGACAAAAGAAAAACAATACTATAACATAAAGATGGCAGCCTTCTGCGATCTTTCTGCCTCTATGATCAGGGTATTACATGGCTCAGCAACCCAGAAGGCAAGTCCATTTACGTTATACATACAATATTAACGACATAAAACGGCGAATACAAGTCGAAGTATTTTTTTTATTTAGTGTTCTGTCTGACGACAGGTCCATATGAACAGGATCCTTCCATCCTTTTCTCGGACTGGGACCTGTTCATATACGTTCTTGGCAGATGATCCAGAAGTGGTTTGCCATTGCCTTCTTCTGTGTGTGAATGGAGTAATTGTTGGGATGCCACGGAGGAAAACTCCGTGTTGCCTAGACCACGGCCTTGCCCAACACAAGTTATAAATTCGGGCACCGCCGGGAATCGAACCCGAGACCCCAGGATTACAAGGCCAGCGTTCTAACCGCTAGAAAATAGTGTACAGAAGACTCCATTCTCAGTTCAGTGGGGAGAGGAACTTTTGGTATCTGGCTCAGATGGTTAGTAGGTATGTAATAAATATGGCGGGAGCCACCTTCCGCTGTTCGCCCACTGTCTAGCTGTATCTTACCCTAGACTGCGCCATACTTGAAGCAGACAGTCCACATTACGAGGGCCCTCTTTTTCCTGTCCACTCTCTGTTCTTCTGAAACTGGCGTCAGCTCAGAAACAGTTTGACCGTCTTCACGACCAGCGACGGCGGGGAGGGGAAAATAACATATAATGACGGGTCTGAAATCCATGGAAAGAGAGTGAGTGGGGGGAGGGCCCCCAGGGACAACACGCACCCTTGGTAATCAACCCGTAAAACAGGAATATGTAACCCAATCTGTGTCAATAAAATGGAGCCGATCAACTTCTGGAACCGTGGCTTGTCTAAACGGTGAGACCCCTGAGATCTCTGTAGCTGGCGCCAGATACGAGAGCCTCAGCTGGAGTGGAGGTTAGGCTCCAAGCTTAACTTTAGCAGTGGTCGTAGGTGGAGGCGAATGGCGAATGGTTTCCATGGCAACGAACACGAAGATGGCTGTCTTCTGGGTTGTAGAAGCTGACCGGAAGGTAATCAGGGTGACGCCTTAACGACGGAGGTAGCAATGACCTCCGAAACGTCGGTAAAATTCTACCAGACTAAACGGGGTAACAACTCAGAAGACAGCCATTTTTAATTTTAACAACTCATTATTTTTCAATATAGTACTAGGTATATAATTATATTCTTTTGCTAACTGCATGAACCAGAATTCATGAAAACCTCACAAATGCTCAGCTAGTCATCGTTATTTTCCGGTTACTAATTAACTGGGTAGCTAATTACTTATGTAGAGAATCATCCCGGTGTGTCATGAGACGAAGTTCATGGTGATCACATTGTGCTGAAACATGTATTTCAAGTGAATGAACTTTGAATTGAGTGTGTGAATGTAACTGACAGGGATAGAAAGAGGCTAAGTGTTGTAGGATCCCAATCAGCTGATCTATAAACTCCTAGCGATAATAAACATTATCAAATGAAGCCCTCCTTAAATGTTATCTTCGTCACTTATAATACAAAGATCAATCTTAATATTATCCTCCCATATGCATATAAGAATAAATCGTGTCCCAAAAAAAACTTACACGCACATTCGATGAATGAAATAAAGACATTTTAATAAACGAAACCTTTACATCGTGAATCAGCGTGAATAGTGTTCAAAATGACCGTCTTTTGCCTCGACCGACTAGCGGCCACCAAAATTTCCGGGCAAGACCTTTCAATATTTCGTGCTCGGCGCCCTTGAAGCGTCCTTTATGAAAACCCACAAGAAAAAGTCACTCGGGGTTGAATCTGGCGATCGTGGGGGGTACTCAACAGAACCTCCGCGTCCCATCCATGGGCCCGAAACTGTTATCACGATGGTACTGTGGTCTTTTCATATAACATGTTCTCATCTGCATACAGATGACGAACCGTGGGAACAGTGGATTATTCAATGTGTATACATATTTTTGGGGCATTCTGTATATCAAATCACATAACTCAACTTTTTTCTTATTTCCTGAGAGATGTGTGTTGAGATGTAAAACCTTGTGAAGATCGTAGCCCATTCATTTCTCCTTGTAAAACACAAATATATTACCAGGAAGTTACGAAAATATAAACAAATGAGTCTAGGCTTTACAACATACGCTTCCGCATTTACAATGTCACTTGTTTCGTAGAAACAGTAAATTGTTATTCAATTTCTACGCCCGTAAAATATTTCTTTTTCATTTACAGGACTACCACCATTAAATTTTATCTATTCTGGAAAAACTGCTGCTTAAAACCTGTTTGGCCAGCATTATTGCGGTTATTAAAATTATCTCAACTATAAGTCACTTACGAATATCAGTGAACGAGATATGAAGCTGTTACCGGGCAAGCTGGCCTTAAGACAACGCATAAACGTCCTTAAATAACTCAGGGCTGTCACAAAATTGTAAACATTGCCAGTGACATTCGATTGAGAGGATGGCTGCCTTCTGGTACGTAGCGATGATCGCCCTGGTGCTGGAGGCAGTAAACACCTCTGAAACGTCGGTCAATTTCTATAAAACAAAATTGCACAACATCCCAGAAGACAATGATCCATCGTCATGATATCTTTAAATTGTATAATTTTTATCAGGTCTGTCATATTTTATTTAATAATTTTGAAGCATCTCTAATGGTTATATAACCGCCTGATAAGTTAGATGTTTTGAGGGGTGGGGGTTATAATACAATCTTAATTTCTGATGATGAAGACAGTATGATCTCTGAAACGTCGGTATATAGCTAAGAGTCCATACGGCGTCGCAATCTACTCGTGAGAAATTCGATGTCACAATGGTTCTTTATTTGCTAAAAGGTAGCTCCAGAGAAACCCTTTGTAAATAACACTCCTTTTTCTATCAACACTGGATCAAAGAATTGGTTAATAAGATATTAAAAGTATATATATATAAGACTACAAAGAAGTGATTTGGGCTATTAAATTGCACATCCTGGTATTTTATTTAAAATTTATGTCTGTCTCGGAACATTATGTGTGAGTGCGTGGGACATGACTTCTTCCCCCGAAGCAGAACTCAAAATAAAACACAACGCTGAGCAGAATTCTCGTGGTGCGCATTTTGATACGCGAACTTAGATCTGACGAGTTCTTTAAACCAAGCAAATGGGACATGGCAAAACAAAGGTACCTCTTAAAATTTAAATCGGAATATATTACAGGAACATACAACTTAAGACATAGAAGAGTATAACGGAAGGATAATATTAAAAACTGATCGTTAAAATACGAATATGATGTGAAACGTATGATATTCGACGTTCTCAAAGCGGTAAACGTGTCGATGTTAGTCCACACGGCGTTACTGCCCCAACGTGGATTAAATCGGCTTAAAATTAGATACAATGTCGTTACAAGACTCGGGAGTTGCATCAAGTTAGCTGAACGCCAATCAACTGATAAAGGGGGAATCCGTAATTTTCTAGAAATTTTATCAAAGTCTGGGGGTAGTTGGACACCCCTGATAAGTTTAGACGTCTTGGAGGAGGATAAGGTGGCTGTCAAAGAAACTCCAACAAACTTCCCAGGGCTATAGAGTGAGACAGTGGTAGAAGATTGAATTGTTAGGGGGAAATTACTGTAGTCATGGTAACCGAACCCAGTAATTTGACTTTTTTTACCTGAAGGCTGAAGTAAGTAGAGATTACCTAGAAAACGCTTCAAAAATCATTCTTCTATTTTTTTTTGTAACTACAGATAGATAATCATGAACATTATCATCATACGAAACTCGAGTAGCGCGAGTATTTTATTATAAAAACGAGTTTTTGTTTCGAGTTACAGATATTTGAGTTAATATTTACATCGTTACAGTCAACAGCCGAGTTTCTTTTTTCTTTTCTTTTTCTAAAGTACAAACAAATAACCTGCAACATTACGTCTTATGATTACAGTGATTATGGCAAAATGCCATAAAAATGTTACGACGTATAAAATTTATCGTATTTGTTTCTGAGCAAAATATGAATTTCATGCAATCGCCATTTATTGTATTGCACTTAACAATAAAAACAACTTAATAATTTACATATTTTTCGAAAATTTCTTAACTTCCATCACTTTAGTGCGCTGGTGTCGTCTTGGCTGACTAATACGCGCATGCGCCATATTGTTATTACCGACTGATGAAAATTAAGACTTACGACACTGCTGTAGCCTCTAACGGCGTGAAACTAATACAAAATTTCGCTTAAATCGTCCCGCGCGGTACAAAAAAAAGGTGTTTTAAGTTCTCCTTCGAATGGCGTAATTTTAATTTATTCAAGCCGTTTGGTTTTTATCATACGAGAATCTCAGGAAGAAAACACGTGATCTAGAAAATTATTTACGTCACGTGATTCAAAGTTACGGTGGGGGGGGGAGAAGGAGGGTACCGATAGAATAGTTTGTTATGAGATTCCTTAAAATGAACATCAGAATTTGTAAATCCGGACAACTATACAAAGAGTTATTTACCTGAGAACACGTATTACGTTCGCTTTCAAAAAGTTTCTTATCTGTTGCGTTGCAATTCGTAGTAAAATTTGTATATTTTTTTTTGATGAATGAGGAACGAACTCCTTTAGGGTTCTTGCCGGTAATGGCAGCACAACTCTTTACCGGCATCCGTCAATATCGACAGCGACGTCCACCACTCTCGTACTTCGCGCCACGTCCAATCTTACGGCGATAGACCCATAAGTAATTGTGTCATTTGTGTTCACCCCGAATGTCCTGGAGTCATGGGCGCTGCATTGTGTTGCAGGTGTGGTTCCAGAACCGAAGAGCCAAGTGGCGTAAGAAGGAGCATACAAAGAAAGGACCTGGACGCCCGGCACACAACGCGCACCCTCAGACGTGCAGCGGGGAGCCTATCCCGGAGGAGGAGCTTCTGCGTAAAGAGCGGGAACGCCGCGAGAAAAAGCTAATCAAGTCACTGGAGCGACAGCAGCGGAAACTGGCGGCCAAAGGAATCGCTGTCGACATCGCCACCTTGCGGCGAGACTGGGAACAACAACAAGGAAAGAAATTATCCGGTAGAGTCCACCAGTCGTCGTCTCAACAAACATCCTCTTCCAACAACAACAACAACAACGACTCCTCAAGCTGTTGCAGCAACACCAGTAGTTCTGGTGCTCGGGACGTCGAGATAGATGTCGTTGGTGACGACAGCGACAGCGAAGAGGACGACGCGTCTTCTAGAAAAAGCGATTCGGTCCCACTCAGTTTCGTAACAGTTTCGCCGTCATCAACTGCAAAAGGTGATGACGAGTTTGGTGATCGTCTGAGAATGATGAGCAGGGCAGATCTGTCTTTCGAACACTACAGACAACACCAACAAAACTCGACCACACCAACAATCGATCTCTCCGTTGTTAACAAGTGCAACAACGACAACAACAACAAACAAAGAAGATTGAATCCTTTCAGTATAGAATCTCTTCTGTCAAGAACGGAATATTCCGCTTCTACAATGACGGAAAACAGTACGAACCACTGTCTTACGACAAGAGAGACACCTCGTGATTTAACGACGAACTTGTGACTCGAGTAACTGAAATACTTACTTTATATTTGTGTGTGTTTTTTTTTAACTGAAAATGTCGGGTTCAGTTTCGAAACAGGATTTTAAAAAAATATAACCAATCAAATGCACAGATTCTTACGTTACTCTCTTGAACAAACAATACGTCATGGAAGCGAAAAGTGTCCTCTGGTGTTCAAAACTGATTCAGAAAACTGTTACTGCCCTTTGAACCGGTGAAGAAGAATTCCCCGTGGGGGGATATAATATTTATTAATTTCAAATTTTGGGCTTATTTTCTATGTCATCGATTATTGTAACACTCGTTCCAAACTGTTACATTTTCTGTTTCATTAACTGACAAATTTATTTTCGTAAATGCACGTATCAAAGTTATTAAAATATTAACTGTAGTTTTCAAAATATTGAGTTTATCACAAACAGTGTTAGTGTTCTTTGTATTAACAATGCTTTCGAGTACGCAAGCACTTTCTTCAGAGTTTCTCCACACTTCTCAACATAACAGCCCAAAAATCCCTGCTGCTGGCTTAAAATACTCACAACTTCAGAATACACTGATATTACGTATTCAAGCGCCGACTGACGAGTAGATCAGACACTAAGATCGAAATTAAATACATTTACGTATTACGTCAGTTGAAGTACTGTTTCTAAATTGACTTTATACTGTGATTTATTCAATTTCTTTTAAATTACTTTACTTTTTTCATGTTATCCCATAAAAATGACCTGGGAGTAAACCCGAACATGACATAAACTCTTCATATAACTTAAAATTACACTATCAGATTCCGTTTAAATGGCTTACAACGATTCTGAAGGGATTTAACTAACACACTGTATTTTTATGAACGAAAGCATTATTTTTATTTTAATTCCGTAGAAATTATTTAGCTATTATCATCTAGTCACGCTTATTCCTAACAGAAATGTTATTTTAATTGGCACTCAGACCTCAAATGAACTGAAAAGCAAACCAATTTCGTTCCAAAACACTGAACTCGACAGTTTCCATCTGAATCTTTGTTCCTTTGTTACGTTATATTTCCTGTGAATTGTTTTTACGAAACAAATGCACGTTGGCTGGTTAATTTACACTTCAACTGGAAATAAGATAAAAGTGAAACAGAATATAGGTGGAGAAACAATCGATGTCTGTCAAACTGAAGATCTGTCGACAAGCGAAGTAACAAATGCAGTAATGTGTTGTTGTCGAGTGTTTTTATGTTTATTGTTTATTTTACTTTGTGTACAGATCCAGAACATCGAACGTTGTTAACATAAAACTGTAAGATACTTAGAAGATAACTACAATTAATCTCGAACACAAATATTAAGCAATAACGCAATATCACTTTTCAGATCATTGTATCATAACGGAATTAAAATGTCTGATTAAATTAATGCCGATAACATAGTATTTTTTTTAAGATTCTGTTTCCATACTTGCAACATAAATTTAAGGAATGTCTCGTAGAAATTTACCGACGTTTCAAAGGTGCTTACTGCCACTATTATCAGGGCACATCGCCCTGAGTACCTCTGAAACGTCTGTCACTTGCTACGAGATTACACGGCGAAACATCCCAAAAAACTTCACAGTCGCTGCCGTGAGAACCTAAAATTTCACATACATAATTCAAGCGATGAGAGTTTTTCATGGCACACATTAAGATTAATAGACTAGAAAGGAAAACACGTTTAAGTAAGAAAAGAGATTCTTCTGCCCAAGAATAAAGCAATGACAAAATACGTATTTAATTCCCTTATCTTAATTATTTATTATTTTATAATAGAAGTAGATATGCTGTCAGCTGTAAGGGAAGGAAATTATGTTAAAACATGTTAGCCTGGTATTCTTATTAAAAATGACTACCTGTTACTAAATACTATACACAAATAAGCCTATTTTCATTTAATTCTGGGGAAAAAGAAATCGTACCGCAATGAAGCCTGTGGACCTTTCAATTTTCTGTCATGAACGTTGTCATTTCAGATACCTTGAAAGTCGCTCAATGCAGCGTCGTCGAATTACATAACCCCGCACAGAAATGCTGAAGTCGTGAAGACCCCACGACACAGGTCCTACATTCCTTCATTAAGCAGTTCTTTTATTGAATCCGAATGTTTTTCTCCGTGTTCAAAGAAACTCTACATTAAAGTTAAATTTCGACCAGTCTAATTCAGACAGATTTGAATATTACCCCTCTAATTTTCATAGGAATGTCTTCTCTTTGGGTTGGCCAGCAAAAATTCTGAGAGCATTTATCAGTTCTCACGTTCGTGTTACATTTCTTTTCAATCTCGTCTTCTTGTTCAAGGCAAAAATTTCTACGATTCTCATTACGCTTTCTCTCACTGAGTGAAAAGTAGACTGAAGATATTTTCACCTTTGTCGTCTTAGTATCAGAATATTTTTGTCAGGGGGGCTCCACCATCGCCAGACAAGAGACACCGAGTGCCCCAGCACCGTACATGATGCAAATTCACCTGTTCCATCGCTGTCATGAATATAAATAGAACATTTGAATACATTCCCACATCTTATCCGAAACATTAAGAACGTACATTTTACCAGTAGCTGATAGATTACGCTGACGTCTACATAAGGGTCTATTTATATAGGAACGTAAAGATAACGACACGAGCACGACACGAGCCCTTGCCGATTTTTCAGAAAATATTATTCAACGTTTTTCAATGGAACTGTTTATATATATTGACTCCGAGCTCGTCCGTTCCACGAACGAGTCTCGCTCAACTTAGGTCTCCAACGATATTCTTCCTAAACAGTTCCATTGAAAAACGTTGAATAATATTTTCTGAAAAATCTGCAAGGGCTCGTGTCGTCATCTTTACGTTCCTAAATGAATATACCTTAATTGGCTGAACAAGTGGGAATCTGATGGAGTGAAAATTTTATATACCCATTTGTACCTAAACACATTCCACAAATGAGACGTATTTCCCACCAATACAGATATGTCTCCCTATGACTCATTTATGCTTCCTAAACTTATAAAAGCATAAATTAAAATAGGCCTGCGTACGTCGTATATCTGAACATAATGCAGACGTTGGAATTTTCAAGAAAATAGCTTGGAAAATGTTTCCTGCACTAGTATAAATGGTGGGACATTGGGTAATTTTAATTTCAAGTAATTTCAGGTCTCACTCCTGTAAAAACACTTTCATATTTCAAATATTGTGCTCTGTTAAATTTAAATCAGACCACTTGGTACTCTGAAAGAGATGTTAACATTCGTGATAAGTCAGGATTTTTTTTTAAAAAAATTCTATTTAATAACAACAGCGGAATCTGAGTAAATTTCCAAACTTCGCGAGATCGTTTGAGAATGGCCTTTGAGCGCTGAGGTCAATTCGCTCTGCTAGTTTTTCCCCCCAAGCTTCAAACAAACTTTAACACGCATAAAGAAAAGTAGAATGCACACAGAATTTTAACCGTAAATTATAAAATAATGGACCAACTGGAAGATAAAAGCTTACATGTCTGAATATTAAAGAAACGTGTTCTGGGTCTCTAGAAAATTCGTCCCAGAACAGGTTCAAGTTTCGGAATTCTGCGAACACGATAACGTAAATTTGGTTCCATTACAGACGAGGAATTTCGTAATCATCTGGGTGATTACTAACTTTATAAGGAGGACTGTGTTCCGTGGAGCTGGTAAGTCTCCAAACTGACAATAATTGCCAAGTATCTTAATGAGAAGTCTGCCCGTAACGCAATCATGCCCTCTGTAACTTCTGCAGCCAAAAACGTTCCATTCACCAGTAGGTGTTACTATCGGCAGACACTCTTCGGTAAGTGACCCAGACTCCTAAAACGTAAGGTCAGCCCTCATAATGAAACAACGCGTTTATAAATGGCAATTTCGACTGTTCTAATTTTTATCGATAGATATAAACACGCATCTAATAAAAAAACAAATGTGTATATCAGAATTCTTTGGTTCAACATAGCTAATGTTATGGTTATAAAAGTATAAGACATACCTTGTGATTTTGTTTATATTCAGCGGTCCTAAAATTCTTGAAACACTTATTTTATGAATATCACGTGTCTCTGTTGATGGTTCTTGACAGTTTCAGGAATTAGCCTGCTTCTTTCATCTTCAAGGTAAAAAAACTGGACTAAACTCTACACTGCAAAAAGAAACTTCACAGTTCATCTTAATTACGATCACTACCGCCTTAATCTGTTTATCTAAGAACATGTCCGATGTACCTCTTTGGTGTCCACCTTCAGAAATTAATTTTATATTGAAACAAACGTGCAGTTGCACAATCTTTTGGAATAAAAGAAATCCAAACTCTAACACAAAATTTTCCACGACGCAGTTCCCAACAGGTACGACTTCATTTGACAGATGATGACTGATCACTGAAGACACAAGCCACTCATTTCCTTAGACTACAGAAAGAAACCGTCGTTGATAAAAAGAAACGTCCTTGAACCTGGTGGCACTGTCTACAGGTTTAATAGCATTTCTCTTGGCATTAATACCGCGTACTTTTTGTTTCAGAAGCAGTCAGATTGAAAAAGTTGCAGTTTTAAACATAAAAGAGACTTCAAAGCACGGTCTGATATAAACAGACCTACTAAATCAACAACTAGTTTACAAACACGGGTATACTTAGACACATTCAAAAATCTAATTTATTACAGTCTAATACGTATTAGACTCTCGAGGATCCGAGTTTGTCTCAAAATATATTTACCCGGAAAATCTAAACCCCAGATAATGCAAAAAAAGAATTGAAGAAATCTCGCAAATATAACAAGTGCGTAAGTTTATTTGCGGGCATACACTACTTAAATTTTTAAAGAATTGTTAGTAACAGAAAGGAATTTATATACAATTTAATACGAATTTTTTAATGGTGATGTATCAAATACAAAGATAAGAAATCAATATTTGCCTGTAATTTCTTAAATAAAGACTCGGGGGGAAAATACGGTTCACACGTGCAAATTTTCAATTCAAGTATGTTCCAAAGCAAACTGAAAAGCATTTAGCCTGCTTGGGATATTATTATGTAACTTTAAAAAGTAACAACCCCATTTTTAATGCACTCCAGTGCCTTGACCCCAACCCTGACAAACCGCCTTTCACCCACCAACACCGCAGTCAATAACCAAACCTCGCTCCGATACGATGTACTTCTGATATCTCCTCATACAAATTCGATATTACTTCTCTGGTAAGTTTATACGTTTACTTTCATTATATCGAAATTGTAAGAGGAGAGATCAGAAGTACATCGTATCGGAGCGAGGTTGGTTATTGACTGCGGTGTTAGTATGTGAAAGGCGGTTTGTCAGGGTTGGAGTCAAGGTACTGGAGTGCATTAAAAATGGGGTTGTTAAGCAAAATGTTATTATCATTAAGGCAAAGGATAATATTTTAACCATTTAATTATCTTATATTACTTTATTGTGATTGACGGACAATTTTAATATATTTTAATACTATTTTAAATAAAATCACAATATGACGCACCTACAATATCTTTAAAAAGTACATCTTTATGGACTGTTTGCACAGAATTTATTACGTGAACGCATAATATGGATGTTTACTCAATCCGTTTGATACTGTTTTAGCGTAGCAAATTTAATTTTTGTTCAATATAATTCCTAAATTACGCGAAGTTAAAATAGACTTTATTTGATATTCTTAAAAATTATCCAGCGTATAAAATTATGAGAGTCACGATAATGATGAAAACGTAAACAATGAAGAAGGATATTAAAACAAATTAGAATAAAATAAGACGAGAATAAGAAAGCAAAATTTTCCTTACCGTCAGATCTGTTTTTGCATTATTCAAAAAACCATCACTCCAAGAATCTTAACTTCTTCCTTTTGAAGACTTAACATTTTCGCTTACAACTAATTAAGAGTTAAAAGATCTCCAGTTTCTACCGACGGCAGGAGTTTTTTGGCTAAATGTACGACTATTAACTTCTCAAAAATCATTATGTTCATAGATATAGTTAGTTAAACATACAGATACATTGCCAGATACATAATCAGGCACACAGTTGACTGAGCATGTTTTTTTATTGTAAAAATCTGTCGTGTACAACCTATGCACGTATTAATGGTGTTTCGTAAAATTTGTGATGCGTCAGTACCATCAGTGAGCACCAGAGTGCTCTGTTGCCTAGTTGTTATACGTATTATAACTCTATTAAAACTGCTGTCAGTTATGGTTATGAGTGGTAGAGTTCTCTCGTAAAATATGCTTGCAAAGTCTTGTTTAAAAGCGTGTTAAATTCATGGTTTACAATCTGCACGCTAGAATGCAATAGCGACATACGGAACATTAGTCAACTATTTTCTTGCGCGGAACAAGACAAAATGTTAATTAATTTTACTTTTCTGTTA